GCAGCAGCGATTTCAGCTATAAGCCAGCATCAGGTCTTAAGCTGAGGCTCTTGAGAACGTGTTGCGGAGAACGTCAACCCTTGTACGCGCACCTGTGGGGGCTTGTGATCGTGACAGCAACTTGGGATGGTAGAATTAGGGTGTTCCATAACTACGGTTTACCAGTTAAAATATACAAAAGCGGGAAATGTGTATATGTAAACAGTGTTAGAGTAGTAGCGTTCTTTAATTTAGATTGGAGCTCATGTTAGCTTTAAAATCATGAGCTAAAATTGGTCTCTTTGTATTTTGTGTCTGGTGCTTTATGTGACACCTATTATGTGCGTGTGTGTAAGTAAACACCGACTGTGATTTAAAAATTGTCAAACTTAGAAGCGACAACAATGTGACTGACTACTGAATCTCTCTGGTTATTAACATTTACAAAACATTAGTATAATCCTTTTTGTGTCCTTCTGTTGATATTATTTCTTTAACCGTGGACTCTGAAATATGTTTATGTTTTGATATTTGCTTATCAGATGTTTGAAAGTAAAAAAATATATACTTGAGGAATTGTATCTGATGAGCATAACAAGAACATGGACACTACTTGATCGACTCTCCCCATTTCATATGTATTATGAAAAACATACAAAAGAAAGAGAATAAAAAGGTGGATAACCCAAACTAATGAAGACGCATAAGGATAACAAGATGGGGAAGTTAAAGAAGAAGAAGAAAAAGAATCAGACGCTTGAGAGGTTAGAGAAAAAGAAAAAATGACAAAACAAAGTAGTAGAAGAATAAGAGGAAGAAGAGGGGGAGTAAGAAAGTGGAAAAAAAGAAGAAGTTGAGATTATGAATATTGTGAAAAATAAGTCAAAGAAAATAAGAAAAAAGAAGAAGAAAAATACAATGAGAAAGATCAGAAGAGGAAGTAGAAGAGGAAGAAGACAAAGACGAGATAAGTAAGAATGATAGATTAAAGAAAACTAAAAAAAAATAAGACAAAGAAAAAACAAAACTAAAAGAAGAACCAAGTGTTGGAGAAGACACATACGATAAAGAAGTAGAAGTCAAAGTTGCAGAGGATGAAGATGAAGAAGGAAACGAGGAAGACTAAGCAGAAAAAAGGAAGACAAAGCAGAAGAGGAAGAAGACAAAGACGAGATAAGTAAGAATAATAGATTAAAGAAAACTCAAAAGAAATAAAGCGAAGAAAAAAAAGTAAAAGAAGAAGCAGGTGTTAGAGAAAAAAAAGACGATAAAGAAGTAGAAGTCAAAGTTGTAGAGGATGAAGATGAAGAAGGAAATGAGGAAGTTGAGAGCAAAAAAGAGGAGTAGAAGAAGAGAGGGCTGATTAAGAAAAACTCAAAAAATACGAGGACATATATGTTCAAGATAAGGAAAGAAAACGAAAGTTGAAGATGACAAAGTATGAGAAAGTGAAGATGGGAAAGGAAACTAAGAAAAACTTAGAACAAGAAATTAAATAAAACAAAGAAGAAAAATGTGAAAAGACGATAAAGAAGTAGAAGTCAAAGTTGTAGAGGATGAAGATGAAGAAGGAAATGAGGAAGTTGAGAGCAAAAAAGAAGAGTAGAAGAAGAGAGGGCTGATTAAGAAAAACTCAAAAAATACAAGGACATATATGTTTAAGATAAGGAAAGAAAACGGAAGTTGAAGATGACAAAGTATGAGAAGGTGAAGATGGGAAAGGAAGCTAAGAGAAACTTAGAACAAGAAATTAAATAAAATAAAGAAGAAAAATGTGATGAATTATAAGAAGGAAGAAGAACAAAAACAAGACAGATAAAAAACAAAAGAAAAGAAGAAGAAAAAATCAAAGAAGACAAAGATTATAAAAAACAAGAAGCCCAAGATGATTAAGAAGTTAAGAAAAATAACATGAAGAAGAAAAATAAGAATATAAAGAAAAGGAAGAAAAAAAAGAAGATAGAGATGAAAATGTAGAAGATGAAGAAAATCAAAAAATAATAAGTTAGAGAAGACGAAAACGATGAAAAAAATAATCGAAATAGAAAGACAATAACAAACCGAAATAGAATGGAGATAAATAAATAAAAAACTCATTTTCAACACATTTTCGCCTGTAAATGGTATGGGTTACCACCTAATATAAATTATATTAGAAAAAAAACAAAAAATTCCACACACAGGATTAGAAGGGAATCTAGTGTCTCTTTATTTTTCTTTTCTTATTTTCGTCGTCGTAATTATCCGGATTGCTCATAAACCCTAGTTTCTTCTACATCCCCAAATTTTGAATTTTGCCATTTTGGGTCTGGAGAGTGGATCAATGGAACACTCATCGATTTTCACCGGCACTCGGTCCATAAGTCACTGAACATATATTGTGAGTTTGGAGAAATTTTCAGAATTTTTCTTGTCGTCTTCTTATGAGCTAGAATCGTTTCAAGCATTGCGTTCTCATGTATACTACTCTGATTCTCAATGGAAGAAGGTGTCTCGTGTTACAGAAATGGCCTAATTTGAGATTTGCTGTGAGCCTTGTTCAAAATGTATCTGCTTTTTCCAATCCCTTCTCGTCTGCTAGTGCTGCTGCAGATGTGAGCCCTCCTCAAGATGGTCGAAAAGGGAAGACTTTTAATGTCTTTGACCTCGTTGATTCATTGGATTTGACTAGGAAACTCGCAGAATCGATCTCAAGGAAAGTCAGCTCCGACGGCAAAGGAGATCCTGATTCTGTTCTGAATCTTTTGACTAGTAATGGGTTCACAGATTCTCAGATCTCCAGCATCATTACGGTTTATCCACGATTGCTTATGTTAGATGCTGAGAAATCCCTTGGTCCCAAGCTTCAGTTTCTACAGTCAAGAGGAGCTTCAACCTCTGAGCTCACTGAGATTCTTTCAAAAGTCCCTACAATCTTGGCAAGGAAAGGGGAGAAAACTATCAGCATATACTATGATTTCGTCAAAGAGATTGTAGAAGCAGATAAGAGCTCCAAGTATGTAAAGTTGTGTCATTCTTTGCCACAGGGTAGTAAGCAGGAGAATAAGCTCCGAAATATATTGGCTTTGAGAGAACTTGGTGTGCCTCAGAAGCTGTTATTCTCTTTGCTCGTCTCTGATTTCCGGTCTATATCTGGAAAAGAAAGATTTGAAGAATCCCTCAAGAAGGTTCTTGACATGGGCTTTGATCCGACAACCTCAAAGTTTGTCCAAGCTTTACACGCCGTTTACCAAATGAGCGACAAAACGATTGAAGAAAAAGTCAACATCTATAAAAGGTTAGGCTTTGATGTGGAAGATGTATGGGGAATGTTCAAGAAGTTCCCACAGTTTCTGATATACTCGGAGCAAAAGATAGTGAACAAGGTTGAAACATTTCTAGGCCTAGGATTCAGCAGAGATGAGCTTGCGATGATGGTCAAGCGCTTTCCTCAGTTACTTGGATGTTCCTCAGAGACATTGATGAAGAAGACTGAGTTTGTGGTGGAGAAGATGAATTGGTCACTAAAGGCTGTAGCTTCAAACCCTGCGGTGTTTGGATACAACTTTGAGAAGAGGATTGTCCCAAGGTGTAACGTAATCAAAACTCTCATGTCCAAAGGATTGATGGGAAGTGAGCTCCCTCCAATGTCTCTTGTGTTGGCCATTACAGATGAAGCTTTCTTAACCAAGTTTGTAAGGAAGTATGATGACAAGGAGCTTGTTGCCGAATTGATGACTATCTTAACCAAGGGTCGAGTCTCATAGCTCGTAAGGCTTGTCAAAGTGTTTTTTTTTTCTCTGTTAGTTTTAGATTCGTCGATGAATCTTTTGATACCGACATGGGAAGCGAAAGATGCAGAGTGTCATGCGATTTGATGTTGAGATTTTGGATTTCTTGCATCTATATTAAGATACAGTGTCAAATACTATCACCAACAGTTTGGGTTGTGATCTATAACTGATCTTGGTTTTGCCCCAGTTCCGGTTTACAAACTGAGTCTTCTTGTGGAATATTTGTGATGCAGGATATGAGATCAATCCAAGTAAACCAAACTAGAAAATAGGTTTTCTAAATCATACTTTAGACCGTTTTCTAAATAGGTTTATGTCTGATTCTGGTTTAGCGTAGCTTTGTCATGTAAAATCTTGTCTCTGTTTCGAAACCTGTCAGTTACAATTTAGGCTAGTTTACTTACTAGGATAATTCGCGTTATCTAAGCTGCCAAAAACAATTACTCCATTGATCAAAAGAAGAGGAAACAAGGGTTTTGCGCCTAAACCCTAAAATGTGTTTTTTATTATGTTGCCTCCCCAATTTTTGTGTTCTTTGCGATTCTTGAATAGTCGACCAAGCTTTAATCTTTTCTTGCACTAGTAAATTTGGAGCTTCGAAACTCATTTCAACACATTTTGCCTTGTCATGTATTCTCTGATACTCCATGGAAAAAGGTCGATCAAGTTGCAAAAATGGCTTAGTTTGAGTGTTTCAATTCAAATTGCATTTTATTTTTCCCGTTCCTTCTCTTCTGCTAGTGCTCGAGATGGTCGTAAAGGGCAGATTTTCACTTTCTCTTATCATTGGGTTTAACTGCCAAAACTCGCTGATACTATCTCAAGGAAAGTCAGTTTCAAGGAGAAGAGTAATCCAGATTCTGTTCTGAATCTTCTTAGAAGTTATGAGTTCACAGATTCTCAGATCTCCGGCATCGTTACGAACTATCCACGATTGCTTCTACTAGATGCTGAGAAATCTCTTGGTCCCAAGCTTCAGTTTCTGCTTTCAGTGAAAGGAGCTTCAAGCTCTGAGCTTACTGAGACTGTTTCAAAAGTTCCTAAAATCTTGGGAATGAAAGGGGACAAACTATAAGCAGATACTATGATTTCGTCAAAGAGATTATCAAAGCGGATAAGAGTTCCAAGTTCGAAAAGCTATGTCATTCACTGCCACAGGGTTTGCAGGATAACAAAATCAGAAATGTATCGGTTTTGAGAGAAGTGGGAGTGCCTCAGAGGTTGTTACTCCCTTCGCCCATCTCTGATCGCAAACTTACCTTTGGAAGAGAAACATTTCAAGAATCCCTCAAGAAGGTTGTTGAGATGGGTTTTGATCCGACCTCCTCAAAGTTTGTGGAAGCTCTTAGCGTTGTTCAAAGATTGAGTGAGAAAGCAATAGAAGAGAAAGTCAATGTCTATAAAAGGTTAGGCTTTGCTGTAAGAGATGTATGGGAAATGTTCAAGAACTGTCCAAACTCTCTGAGATTATCGGAGAGGAAGATAACTCAGACGTTTGAGTCACTTAGGATATGTGGATTAGTCGAAGACGAGATCCTCTCAGTGTTCAAGAAATCTCCGGAATGCATTGGTTATTCAAAAAAGAAGATATTCAAATCCATACTAACATTTCTAGGCCTCGGGTTTAGCAAAGATGAGTTTGGTTTGATGGTCAAGCGGTTTCCTCCATGTCTTAATATGCCTGCAGAGACAGTGAAGAGGAAGACTAAGTTTCTGGTGAAGAAGAAGAATAAGTTTCTGGTGAAGAAGATGGAAATGGCCACTAAAAGCCGTGTTTCATACCCAGAGGTACTTGGATACAGCATGGAGAAGAGGATAAAACCAAGGTGTAATGTTATGAAAGCACTCATGTCAAAAGGATTGCTTGGAAACAGAGATAGCAAACTGCCTGATAAGGAATCTGTCTTGCTGTGTACAAATCAAGATTTCTTAAACAGGTTTGTGAGGAATCATGATGATAAGGAGCTTGTGGCTGAGTTAATGGCTATCTTCACCAGAGATTGTGCTTCATGGATTATATAAGGCTTGTCAATTTGTTTATTGAAGCTCTTAATAAAACCCCAATTTTAGACTTTTGTAATATATTACTTGGAAATTGACCCCAAAATATATTACCTGGAAAATTAAAATTAAAAACTTCATTTTGCAATCTGTTTTATGTAACGTTATCATCTCTAATTGATGCTGATCATAAAAATGTGGGTAATAAAAAAATTTTAAAAAAAATTATTTGAGAACTGGAGATTTAGGCAATATATGATGAAACGAAATCAGGGTTTTGCCTAAGAACCCTAAAAATCGTTGCTTTTTTGTGGTTGCATCCCTCAGTTTTGGTTCTTCGTGATTTTGGAATTCGAGAGTGAATGGATTCTTAAAAAGTCGATCACTTTTACGGAATTTGGTCACTGAATCACTAAGTCAGTCTGGAAATTTTGAAAATTTAACATCGATTCCCTTTATTCTTCACTTCATTGTATATCGTCGTCATGTATTCTCTGATACTCCATGGAAAAAGCTCGGTCGAGTTGCAGAAATGGCGTAATTTGAGAATTGCGGTGCAGAATGTATTCTCTGCTTTTTCCAACTCCTTCTCCTCTGCTAGTGCTACTGCACATATGAGCCTACCTCAAGATGGTCCAAAAGAGAAGATTTTCACTAAACTCGCAGATTCGATCTCGAGGATTCAGATTCCCTCCGAAGGCAAGGAAGATCCAGATTCCGTTCTGAGTCTTCTTAGGCGTCATGGGTTCACAGATTCTCAGATCGCCGACATCGTTACGAAATGTTCACTATTGCTTATAACAGATGCTGAGAGATCTACTGGTCCTAAGCTTCGGCTTCTGTATTCCATAGGAGCTGGTTCAATCTCTGAGCTTATTGTGAGCCTTCCTCAAGATGGTCTAAAAGGGAAGACTTTTACTGTCTCTTACCTCGTTGATTCATTGGGCCTCTCTAGAGAACGCGCAGAATCCATTACGAGTATAATCAGCTCATCAGAGGCTAAGGGAGATCTTGATTCTGTTCTGAATCTTCTTAGAAGTTATGGATTCACAGACTTACGGATTGCTTATGTTAGATGCTGAGAGTTTCCTTGTCCCCAAGCTTCAGATTCTGCAGTCCAGAGCAGCTTCAACCTCTGAGCTCACTGAGATTGTTACAGAAACTCCTAAAATCTTGACGAATATGATAGTGTTGGACTATCAAGGAAGAATAGAAAAGAAGAGTAGAGTAAGAGAGTGAGAGTGAGAAGAGAAGTAGAAGGATATGGAGGCGATAAATACGCTCTCGATATTACTGTTCATTCATAAGCTTAAAAACCCTACTGTTCCCAAATTGCATCTTAAATACACATCATAAGATACTAACATAAAACGATATCACTCTGAGAATTATTTAGAATATGATAGACTCTTTCTTAGCTAGAGGCTCTCCCACACTTCTCCAATATCAGACTTAGCCACTTTTGCGATCAGCACCTTCAGCTATCTTCTTCCACACGCGTGCCTTTCTCCCTTGGGTTCTTGCTCCTTTTCTCATGAAGGCTAGTGGTACTTTCAACCTATCAATACCCCCCCCCCCCAAGAGAACATACCTTGTCCTCAAGGTTGCAATGAGGAAACTGATCCATCAATATCGCAATAGGCTCCCAGGTAGACTCATGTTCAGGCAGCCCCTTCCAACGCACCAACACCTCTATGCCAGATCCTGTAGTCTCACGAACATCCCACAACTCCTCCGGCACCATTGCCCATTCCAATCCGGTGTTAGTATCTCCGGAATTTCCTGAGAGTGACAAGAGTTTGGAATGGCCCTCTTCAACTAGGAAACATGGAAGACCGGGTGAATAGAGCTATGTGCTGGCAGCTTCAGTTTGTAAGCCACCCTACCAATCTTGGCTACAATCTGATAAGGTCCGAAATAGCGTTGTGAGAGTTTTTCGTTCCGGCGGCGAACAACGGATACCTGTCTGTAAGGTCGCAACTTCAAGTATACCCAATCCCCAACATCATAAGTCACATCGCGTCTATGCTTGTTTGCTTCCTTCCGCATACGCGCCTGAGCCAATTCCAAATTTTCCCTAAGCTCAACCAACAGACTATCACGATCCTTCAAGAGTTCATCGACTTGAGCATTCACTGATGGAGTGTCGCTGTAACGTAGCAAGCGAGGTGGCTCTCGGCCGTAAACTGCAAGAAAAGGTGTGATCAGTGTCGAGGAGTGATAAGAGGTGTTATACCAGTATTCGGCCCAATGAATCCACTGCACCCAAGCTGTTGGCTTCGGGCTGGTAAAACATCTTAAGTAGGTCTCCAGGCAGCGGTTAACCACCTCTGTCTGTCCGTCAGTTTGGGGGTGGTACGCAGTGCTTTTGTGGAGAGCCGCACCCTGTGACTTGAAGAGCTCCGACCAGAAACTTCTCAGGAACACCTTATCCCTGTCGGATACCACTGTCTCGGGAAACCCATGCAGGCGCACTACTTCACGGATGAATACCTCCGCAACTGACCGAGCTGTGAACGGATGCTTCAACGGTAAGAAGTGCGCGTACTTGTATAGCATTCTTCGCTCGAGACTGTACCCTGTATTCGACGGTGTATCCTTTTCCAGACCCTTCAGTATTGGTCCTAGCTCTGCATCTTGACACACCTGCGAACGCAGTGCAGCCGTATCCAAGGTGAAGGGAGCATGAATAGCCAGCTGTGTGAATTCGGCAGTGCAGTGAGGGTGTCGACATAGAGCATCAGCGACTCTGTTTTCCACCCCTGGTTTGTATTCTATCCGATAATTCAGGCCGATTAGCTTGGCAGCCCAGCGCTGCTGCACGGACGAAATAGCCTTCTGTTCAAGGAGGTGGCGCAAGCTGCTTTGATCAGTCTTGATGACAAACTCTTGACCCGTAAGATAGTGTTTCCAACGAGAGACTGCCTTGACGATAGCCAAAAGCTCACGTTCATACACTGAACGCACCCTGCCCTTCGACGAGAAAGCCTGACTTAAGAATGCAATGGGGCGCTTGCCCTGAGACAGCACTGCGCCGATTCCTGCTCCAGAAGCATCGGTTTCGATCGTGAACGGTTGACTGAAATCGGGCAGGGCTAAGACAGGAAGACGGGTAACAGCTTCTTTGAGAGCTTGAAAGGATCGAGTGGCGGCGTCGCTCCTTTCAAAGCCATTCTTTTTCAGTAATTCCGTGAGGGGACGAGCTATCAAACCGTAATTGCGAACAAAGCGGCGATAATAGCCAGTGAGACCAAGGAATCCCCGTAGTTCTGTCACCGACCTTGGCTCCGGCCAGCTTATCATGGCCGAGATCTTTTCAGGGTCAGCTGCAACTCCTTTTCCCGATATGATGTGACCCAGGTAGGATATCTCTGTCGACCCAAAACAACATTTCTTTGCATTTGCGTAGAAGGAATTCTTACGCATCAGCTGCAACACAGTCTCCACGTGCTTCAAGTGTGCAGCGATGTTCCGGCTATAGATGAGTATATAATCGAAGAATACCAGGACGAATTTCCGCAAGTACGGCCGGAATAGGTCATTCATCACCGATTGAAACGTCGATGGTGCGTTGGTAAGCCCGAAGGGCATCACCAGGAACTCGTAGTGACCTTGGTGAGTCTTAAACGCCGTCTTCTCAACGTCACAACTCTTCACTCGGATCTGATGATATCCAGACTTGAGGTCGAGCTTGGTGAAGACGGTTGCTCCATTGAGCTCATCGAGTAGTTTTTCAATCACTGGTATGAGGTACCGATCTGGAACAGTCACCTTATTTAACGCGCGGTAGTCAACGCAGAATCTCCATCCCCTATCCTTTTTCTTAACAAGTAGAACCGGGCTCGAGAATGGGCTCAGACTGGGTCGGATAATCTTCGCTGACAGCATCTCCTGAACGAGCTTCTCCATTTCGTTCTTTTGGGCAAACGAATACCTGTAGGGTCTTATGTTTACTGGAGACGTGCCCTCCCCTAAGGTGATTGCGTGCTCGCAGTTTCGGGCAGGTGGAAACCCTTGAGGCATCTGGAAAACTTCAGCAAATTGGTCCACAATTGCCTGCACTGCACTCTGGTAGACCGGAGGGATTTGGGTCTGTGGAGCGTCGAATAGTTCTGTTAGCTCCAACAGATACACCGGTTCATGTCGTCGCCACACTCGTACCAAGGAGTTGAACGATATCGGAGCTCGGCTGAGAGTGGGATCTCCACTGATCGTCACCCACCGTTCTCGGATCTTCCAGCTCAGCGTACTTCGGGCCCAGTTAATGCGAGTGTCACCCAAGGTTGCCAACCAAGAGTAACCCAAGACGACATCAGTAGTACCCAATTCGAATAAGAGGAACTCCTCCCTGATGTCAACGCCTTGTATGGCCAACGGCACTCCGGAACATTTACCGGCTCCATTGATCACCTTACCATCTCCCACGCAGACGCCAAATCCTCTTGTCTGGGTAACCGGTAACCCAATTTCAGCCACCATCTTCGCCGAAATGAAGTTACAAGTTGCACCTGAGTCCACCAAAACAATCACTTCCTTATCTCCAATCTGGCCCTTCATGCGCATAGATCGTTCTGCAGTAAGTCCGACCATCGACTGGAGAGAAAGCGTCACCAACTCCTGCACCTCATCATTATCATTGTCAGCCTCCGGGTCGTACTGCTCGTCCCGTTCCCCCTCTGTCTCAGGATCCCCATCAACCTCCATACATTTGAAACGCTGGTTCTTACACCTATGACCTGGGAACCACTTCTCCCCACAGCTACGACAAGGATTCACCGGTCTCGCATCCCCACCACTCGCAACCTTCCTTACATCCCTATTTCCTTCGAAAGGTTTCTGGGTAAGGGCCAGGTGGTTTCCCTTTGAAAAATTCTGATTCACCGGACGGTTCAGGGCCGGCACCGAGGTAATGCATGGAAAGTTTCGAACCTGGTAACTTCCGGTATCGTTCTCTTGGGCTTCAATGAGCTTCGCCACTTCTACTATATCGCTCATGTTTACCGGTCTGCAGTGAACCACTTGGTCCCGAAGGTGCTTCTTCAACCCCTTCAAGAACGCAGCTTCAAGAACTTCGTCGGTAACGTGAGGAAGCTCGACAGAAAGCTCCTCAAACCTATCACGGTAGTCCTCAACACTCCCAGTCTGCATAATGCTAAGTAGATGGTCCACCGCTGAACTTCCCCGGCTCTGACGAAACCGGCGTTTAAACTTGTCCTTATAGTCCTTCCAGTTTAAGATCTGCTCCCTATCTTGCGAATATCTCCACCAGGTAACAGCTGTGCCCGTCAACCTTCCGAGGGCTTGTTCCAGTTTGTCTGCCTCAGCGGTTCGATTCCGTACAAAGCACTTTTCAACCCTAAACAGCCAGTCATCCGGGTTGTAACCTTCGTACAGCGGTAGCTCGACGGTCTTACTCGGAGATTCGACTCTGGGGGACTCAATCTGCAGCTCACGGTTAGGAGAGGTGAGCTCCATCTGAGTATATCTGGGAGGAACCGCGACCTTGGGTATCGGTAGTATTCCGTCAGATCGGCGCCTAGTCGACTCGCGCACCGGGGTCAGAGGAGATTGCGACGGTTCGACAGAGGCTGGACTTCCGAATCCCGCGGGTGTGACGTCGCCGCCACCACCGTAGATCTGTCCACGCATCTGCTTCTCTAGCGCCGTAAAAATCCATTCCATCCGTTTATCTATCTTGTCGAGGCGTTGTTCCAAGGTCTCGGTCACCGCTGGTGACTCAGAGGAAGGGTTCTCGAGTTCGGAAACGCTGGATCTGGGATCTGCAACGACCGTTGGGGGTATGGGGCCATCGCAAGCTCTCAATGAAAGCACCAATGATAGTGTTGGACTATCAAGGAAGAATAGAAAAGAAGAGTAGAGTAAGAGAGTGAGAGTGAGAAGAGAAGTAGAAGGATATGGAGGCAATAAATACGCTCTCGATATTACTGTTCATTCATAAGCTTAAAAACCCTACTGTTCCCAAATTGCATCTTAAATACACATCATAAGATACTAACATAAAACGACATCACTCTGAGAATTATTTAGAAAATGATAGACTCCTTCTCAGCTAGAGGCTCTC